CTTCAAAGGGGAGGAGGGGTTGTTTAAAGAATGTGAGTATGCAAAGACAAGTTGAGAGAGTCTTTGAGAGTCCACGGAAAATTCTTTATTCTTCGACAGGTAGTAAGCATTGATCACAGTTTGACATACTGCTATTGTGCTCTTCTATCTGAATCGTGCATTCTGTGATATTGTACTTTCGTTGCATAAGATTTTGAATTTCGTGAAGTAGCAACTGTTGATTTCTGTCTGCATCATCTAAAGAGAAAAAATAAATACAAAACTAAATGCCCGTAATGTTTGTTTGATACCTTAGCCATGCTCACAACACGCAACATCAATTTCAGAATAGCTGAAATCTGAACATTTATTATATTTATTGCAATACTCCAATACGTTGAGCATTTGGACCAAGCCACATAATAAACAAGGCATAGCCTATAAGTATTAGTAAACGAATTATGTCCCCATCGGGATTCGAGTCCATCCTTCCGACCATTCGGGATATTAACCCGATTCTACCTAATAGATCTGATAAGAATCAGTTTAGGTGACATCACCATTCATGATGCCGTCACCAAACCTGATTAGGGGATTCTGATCAAATGATTGATGATCGAAACTAATTAATGTACACTTTTTTTGTAAGAACACATTTTATAAGAACACTAAGGCTAAAATTCCTTAAAAATTAAGAACAAAATATGAGCAAATTGAGGCTGAGGTAAAATGTCAAATGGGGTTTTTATTTGTTTTCTTTTTAAAGAAAAACCAACAAAGCTATCTGTACGCCTTATTTGCAGTAAGCCTAGATGTGACTATATAATACTCTCATATAATACAGTAAAGGAATAATAATATACTGCTGTAAAATATAATTTTCTATGTTTGAAAAGTGTAACATAAGGACTTTTGAGCCTGAAATCGGCCAAAAAAAATATAAACTGAGCCTGGGCAAAATTTTACTGGTTTTTATATAAAAAAAAGTGTGTAATATTTATAAACTCGAGTTGACTAAAGAAAAGATTATGTTTTTTGTCGACCGGTTAAATTTAAATTATAAATTAGTGATAGTTTTTTCTGAATGTTAAGCAATTGTTTTGATATTAAAATGTTTTCAATGAACATAAACCCAAATGGTTGAAAACTGATATCGAACAAACCTGGACGATTCAGTGGGTGTGTGAATACATTACAATTATTTGCACTACCACGTAAACATCGTTATTAAACTATCATTCACCCTGAGTAATTTCTTTTAATCAAAGTTGGACCATGATGGTTGGACAATGTAAACATGGTGCCGGAATCTAATCGTTTGGAACCATGATTGTTGTTTCGTTGTTTACATTCAAATCACTAACCGTAGGCTTATATCATCATGAATTTTAAGCTCAAGT